AAAAAAAAAAAAAAAAAAAAAAAAGACTTAATTTCCTTTACCTGGTAACTCTGGTCTATTTGAAATTGCTGTTCTATGTGTCTTATTCACATAAGTAGAATTATACAATATTTTTCTTTTTGTATGGCTTGTTTAGCATAAAGTTTAAAGGTTGGTCCATATTGTAGCATATGTTAGAACTTCATTCCTTCCTATGACTGAATGAAATCTTTTGTTTCAAGGATATACCACATTTTATTTGTTAACAAGCTGTTAGCTTTAAAGTTGTTCCCACCTGTTGGTTATTGTGAATTATTGTTACTGTGCATACTGGAGTATAAGTGTTTGGGATCTATTTTCAGTTCTTTTTGTGACTGACACTCCTGGGGTGGGATTGCTAGGCACTATGATGACTCTGCCTTAAATTTTATGTAGGTGTGATGACTCTGTATTAATTTTATTGTCTTCCATATAAAGCTGTATTCTGGGGGACTGGAGAGATGGCTCAGAGGTTAAGAGCAGTGGCTGCTCTTCCAGAGGTCCTGAGTTCAATTCCCAGCAACCACATGGTGGCTCACAACCATCTGTAATAAGATCTGATTCCCTCTTCTGGCATGCAGGCAGAATACTGTATACATAATAAATAAACCTTTTTAAAAGATTCATTCTGTATTCCCACTAGTAATTCATGAAGCTTCTGTTTCTGAAGATCCTTTTCAATTCATAGTTTTAAAATTTCATAGTTTTAAAATAACCACCCTAGTAGACACTTATTTTATAATTTTGATTTGTTCTTCCTAACGGTTAATGATGCTAAGCATTTTTTTTATTTAATTATTGGTTGTTTGTATATTGGTCATTTGAGAAACATCTAATTCTTTACCAATTAGAGTATATTGTCTTGTGACTGGATATTCCTGGATACTAAAGCTTTACCATATTTATTACTTGAAAATATTTTCTCTCATTTTGTGGATTGTCTTTTTCACTCTTTTGATGTCAGGTTTTAAAATTTGATGAAATCAAGAATATCCTTTTTGTTGTTGTTGTTGTGTTTTATTCTCTGACTTTGGGCATATTTAAGAAATATTAACCTAACCCAATACCATGAAGATTGTCCTCTTTGTCTGCAGAGTGTTAGAGTTTTAGCTTGTAGGCTTGGTCTTTGATTCATTCTGATTTTTTTAAATTAAAAAATGTGTATTTTGTATGTTTGGGTTTTTGCCTGCATGTAGGTCTATACAACACCTATGTTCCTGGTGCCCATGGAGGCCAGAGAGGGTGCTAGATCCCCTGGAACCAGAGTTAAAGATGGCTGTGAAACCTGTGTGAATATTGGGAACCAAACCCAGGTCCTCTTAAAAAAGTAAATGCTCTTAACTGCTGACCCATCTTTTAAGTTTATTTTAATGTGTGATGTAAAATGAGGGTTAACCTTCATTCTTTAGTACATAGCAGTACAGCACCCCTGTCCCCCAAAACATAGTCTTAAAATTGTGCGCGTGCGTGTGTGCGTGCATGTCTCTTACTTAGTCTTATAGAGACCTCAGGGTCTCACTGTGTAGCTCTGGCAAGCCTGGAACTTGCTATGTAGAGCAGGCTGTTCTTGAACTGAGAGATCTGCCCAAGTCTGCCTCCTTGGTGCTGGGATAAAAGGTGTGTGCCACTCCACTAGCACTCAAAATAATATAAAATTGTGTTACACAGAAGCTATTCAAGGTTTCTCTAGCACTGGTTGATACAAAGCATGATGAGAAAACACTTTATAAATAGTAACTTCAGAACAGGGTGACAAGATGAGTTTCATGTGGCTAATTTGGTGGTATAAGCATTCCCTCCCTCCTTCCCTCCTTCCCATTCCTTTAATTTCTTTCTAGGAAGCAGCGAACACTAAGTGGTCTCCCAGTGTAAAGGGCCACATGGTCCCTTTTGTGAGCAGTCAGGAAGTGAATAGAGATAGATTTAGTCTAGGGTAAGTGCATAAGGCCATGGCTCAGATCCCCAGTGCTAGGGGATGGGGTATCTCATAGAATACCATCTTGATTTGATCACATATGACAATAAATAAATAAATAAATAAATAAATAAATAAATAAATAAATAAATAAATAAATAAAGTTGCCCAAAGATACCTAAAGCCAAATACTTTAACACAGAATGGGCTTTTGAGGGGGGATTGGAGGTACCTTCTAAATCAAGTTTCTGGTTATATGCAGCATTGAGGTTGTAAGCCTTCACAATGTCTCCAGCCACTGCACCATCTTGATAGCCCTCTCCACAGACAGATTTACAGCCAGAAGGATTGCTTTGTTTAATTTTTCTATTTTGTTTTCAGTACCTTATAGTATTTCCTTCTTGGTTTTTTGGAGACAGGGTTTCTCTATGTAGCCCTGGCTGTCCTGGAACTCACAGAGATCTGCCTGTCTCTGCCTCTGCCTCCCAAGTGCTGGAATTAAAGGCATGTGTCACCACTGCCCAGCATATTATTCTGCTAACTCTGGAATTAGTTTGTTGTTTTTTTGTTTTTGTTTTTGTTTTTGTTTTTTTTGCTCCTTACCACAGTTAAATTTTTAAGGTTGTTTTTACATGGAGCTGTTTCTCTGAAGTGTATTCAGTATGTTGCGCTTTAACTGTCTCATACTGTTTTCTAACTTCCCTTGTATATTTTATCCTATGGTTGTTTTATAAATGGGCTTTTTATTTTGTGTTGTTTTCATGTGTGTATATATGTGTGCCTGAGTTTGGATTTGTGAACATGAGTGCAGTGCCCATGGAGGCCAGAGCCATCTCTTCAGCCCATTGGTTTGTATTTGCAAAGGGTCTCCCTATATAGCCCAGGCTGGCTTCAGACTTTAAAATCTTCCTGCACCAGTCTTCCCTGTCCCCACATTGATGGGGTAACTGGCATACATCACTGTGTATGGCTGTACTATTGTATTTCTAAGATTCTCGGTTTTCCTTGTTACTGATTTCTAGTGTTTTTGACTGGTGATTAGAACTACTTTGTATAACCTTAGTTCTTTTCAGTGTAGTTGGTGGTCTGTCCTACAGAATGGTTCATGTGCACTTGAGAAAGCTACTGTTGGCTGGAGAGTTCTGCTTATTTATATTAGCCTTTGTTTTTAGTGTTCCGTTCCTCCACTGCCTATTGAGTTCATTACTGTAAGAAAAATATCCAAGGCCAGAATTTTTTTTTACTCTGTCAGCTTTTTTTGTATATATTTCAGGATCCTTTTTCTCTCTCTCTGTTTGTAACTGTGTCTCTCACTGCTGTATAGCACATTTTATCAACTATAATATCCTTGTTACCATCTCATAATCTTAACTCTGTTTTGTCTGACAGTAAAACAGCTTCCAACAGTTTTATTTATGATTTGCATGAAATATATTCTATTCTTTTACTTTCAACATGTTTGTGTCTCAGTATCTAAAATAAGTCTCCTGTAGACAACATAAAAGCTGAATAAAGTTTTTGTGATCCAGTCTGTCAGCCTGCCCTTTCAATAGTAGAATGTCATCCATTTACAGGTACACTAGTTACTGGTAAGAAAGCACGTCTGTTATTAGGCTCTTTGGGTATCTTTGTTCCTCTGTTCTCCCATTATTTCCTTACTTTAGATACTGCTTTTTGTTGTGTTTCAATTTGATTCCCACCTCCTTCCTTTTCTGCATACATTGAAAGTATCTTCTTAGTGGTTATCTTGTTTGTGGCTTCAAGTCACTACCTTTTCACTTCAGACTGAACAAGGTCTACTGTGACTGGTACTTCCTCAGCTACTGTGTATCCCCAGTGTTTTTGGTTTCCTTTATCCCTAATGGATAGTTTTGCTAGATATACAATTAACTTTCAAGTGTGTCATCTGACTTGTTTCTTGTCTTGTTTTCTGATGAGAAATCTGCTGTTAAATCAGTTGAGGAACCTCATTTCCTGTAGTTAAGTAATTGGTTTCTACAGTTCATTGACTATATTTATGACAGTAGACTTATCATCATCATATTTTATTTACTTTTATTCAATTGGCTTTTATTTATATGTGAGTCTAGAATTTGCTTCTAGGAATAATTACCATATTAAGACGTTTTCTTACATTTACTCAGAGTTACTGGAATGTTGGGCAGGGTGTACATGTACATACATACACCTGCCACAGCATATGTATGGTCAGAGGACTCAATTCTCTCCTTCCCTGTATGGGTTCCTGGGATCGAGAAATCAGGTTGCCAGGCTTGGCAGCAAACTCATTACCTGCTAAGCCATCTGCCAGCCCTCATTAATTAACTATTTTTCTTCAAGACACTAAGTAGCTCTGGCTGTCCTGGAAGTCACTATGTAGACCATGCTGGCCAAAGAGATGTCAGAGAGAACTTACAGAGACCTGCCTGCCTCTACCTCCTGAGTGCTGGGTTTAAAGGCCTCTGCACCATTACACCTGGCTTCCTAATTAACTTGTTTAACTAGTAATCTCAATGATTTCAGTTCCTTGAGGTCAATTAATATAAAATTCTTTCCTATAAATGAGCCATATTTTCCTCTTCCATGTGTGTGCTTTGTTGAAAACTGGACACTGGTTGTTATGCTTTTTACTTTTCCAGACTGTTTTGCTATGTGCATATTAATTGTGTATGGTCGTTGATAGTTATATTCTATTACCTCGGTGTTTAGTCAGTACCTAAATGTTAACATTAAAAAAGTTAACATTAAAAAAAAAAAAAAAATCTGTTAGCTGGCCATTGGTGGTGCACGCCTTTAATCCTAGCACTTGGGAGGCAGAGGCAAGTGGATCTCTGTTAGTTCGAGGCCAGCCTGGTCTCCAGAGTGAGTTCCAGGACAGCCTCCAAAGCAATACAGAGACACCCTGACACGAAAAACAAACAAACAAAAAACCAGTTAAGAAAGGTTATGTAATTGTTCCAATAGGTGGTTCTATCAGGTACTACCTACAGGGCCAATCAAGGCAAGCCCCTGGCCAGGCCCTTAAGCTACCACCAGATCAACCAAAAAAAAAAAAAAAAAAAAAAAAAAAAACCCACATTTTAAGGACAGGGTCTCTGCTTGTCTGCCCTGGCTCCAGCCTGCTGTTCTGGGAACTCAGCTGCTATCTCACATCTGCAGTGTGGTGGGGGGAATGGGGTGAAGTACTGGCACACACTGCTTATCTGCAGAATACAATCAGATTCTCCCCTCTCCAGTATCGTGTGGGAATATCCAGTCAGTTTCCAGACTTCCAGAGTAATTCATCATCTCAGTCTAGTGGCTGCTTCAGTAAAGACACCTACCTGCTCTGCATGATGCCACTCCCACTTTTTCAAAAACAAGAATATGTATTAGTTTATGTGAATTTGTATATACCTGAATGCATGAATGTACACCACATACAGAGAGCAAAAAAGGGCATTAGATTCCCTGGAGTTACAGGTGGTTGTCTGCTGTCATGTGGATGCTAGGACCTAACCCCAGGACCTTGGCAAGAGCACTAAGTGCTCTTAATCATCAAGCCATCTCTCCAGCCCTGTCCCCCATTAATTTTGAAAACATCTTGCATTTTCATTTAACTATTTCACTTTAGTGGCTCTTATAACTATTAAGTACATATAAAAGAATATGGTATATTAAAGAATATAAATATATATAAACACACACACACACATAAATATATTTGCAACCTGAATCGATTGCAGAACCTCCAGGCTCATTGTTAAAACTGATTTTATAAGCATATTAAAGGTTGTAAACAAGGAATAGTGATGAGAAAATGCCATTCAGAACAGTATTAGCTGATACTCCTGTTTATCATTAGTGGCTAAGCATATAGCACCAGATGTCGTATTACATATTTTATGTACATATTCCCAAAAACAAGTCTGAAAAAAATTTTCTCTTTATTCAGTAGGTGAAGCTGAGCATAAGGAGAGTAACCATTCCTCACTAGGAATTAGACATCAAACCCGAGGTTGACTGGAGCCCTCACTGTGGGCTCTGTACTGCATTGTCTCTTAGCTGAGTTACAATGGCTGATTTCAAGATCTCGTTTCCTTTCTTCAGGAATCTCATGCACTTGGGAAAAAACCTGAAAATCCAGAAGACTTGATTGGAGAAGGGGAGCTTATCCTATCTGTGAATATCTTGTACCCAGTTATATTTAATAAGGTCAGTAGTGAAACCTGGTTTTCATGGCTACGTAACTTTGAGTGTTAGGGTAGAACCTAGAACTTCAAGCATACTAGGCAAGTACTTTACCCATGGGGACACCACCAGTCCCTAAAAGTAACTTTTAACAAAGCATTTAATTATTTGAGTCTATCTCAGGTTTCAAAATAAATGTTAGCATATATAGTCTGACATCTTATTTTTTTAGGCCTGACAGGATGCATTTGTGAGTTCTTTGTTTTAAGAAATGTTCCAACAAATTTCACTCGGGAGGCAGAAACAGATCGATCTCTGAGTTCTAGAACACCTAGGGCTACACAGAGAAACTGTCTAAAGGGAAAAAAAGTAGTAACTTCATTTAGATGAGGTCTTGGTGGGATTTGTGGTTAGCTGGTTTTAAAAATGGACACTTCTTACTGTTTGACTTCAGCACAGAGAACACAAACCATACCAGACAATGTTGGTATTGGGCAGTCAGAAGCTCACCGAACTGAGGGACTCAATTTGCTGTGTCAGTGACCTCCAGATTGGTGGAGAATTCAGCAGCACTCCAGACCAAGCCCCTGAGCACATCAGTAAAGTAAGTGACCTTTCCCTTCCCCCTAGAAGAAGAAAACAGTATGCAAAGGAAACCGTGTGTGATTGCTTCATCGGGGTCATGTTCTCATGGTGCTAAGGTGCTGCCATCTCTCCTACCATCCCTCGAGCTTTTCAGAGACATTGTTGTGTGTTCATTTCCTCGGTGCTCACAATTCACAGCTAGCTGTTCTATGGTGCTCTTTCTGAGCTAATACTGATCGTCTAGCTGTCTGGCCAGTTGTGTTCTCTTTCCCTTTTCCCTACAGTCAGACTTCACCCTAGCTTCCTTATTCATCTTTAGTTCTTAGGATTAAACTAAGGAAGCACTCTCCAGTGAATTATAGCCCCAGCCTTATTGTTGCTTTGATTTTGTCCTTCAACCTTTCCTGTGTAAAATGCTGTAAGATTTTCAGTCCACCTTAACTACCCCAAGGAAAAGTTTGGAGTTCACCAAGAGCCTCAGTCATTTGTACCTCTTCTTCACTGCTTGTAGGATCAGTAAATACACAGGCCAATATCAGATAGGGAGATGGTGGAGAGCTTATCTTTGCTAGTGTTTCCTGATAATGGCACCCTTCATGAGACAGAAATGCCCGTGTCTGTCTCTTGGGAGGGGAGCAAAGTATCATGCGGTCTGCCCAAAACATTTTCAGAAGTGAGGGAGTGCTTCTATAAGCAAAGAGAATGACCCAATCTTGCTGAATCTCAAGACAGATAAAGATTGCTCTGATTGTGTTACATGGTGCAACCTTGGCAGAGGACCTGGAATTTACTTGCCTACTGAGGAGAGGGCATCTCTGTAGGCACATAAAATGTGAAACAAGTAGGATAAAGTTAAAATTTTGAGAAGAATCAAAAGTCAATCTCCTTTTTCTACCAGCCATGTACATTTCTGTTTCATTGATTTTTGAGTCCCATGTTAACAGCCAGTGAGGTTTCACAGTGAATTTGTGTCTGTCTTCGTGTGTTCCATCTTCCTGTTTTGAGTATTATGGTGTGGCAAGAAGCAGCTTATCATGCATCTGGGGGTAAGGGGGTTCCATGGTTTTATTTCCAAACTTGGTTCCAGGCTTTCCATGTCTATCACAGTTCATATTATATCCTGGTGCTGTTTGTGTCTGTTTGCCCTATAAACTCACAATGTTCTAGTGACTGACATGGAGATGTGTTACGATAACTCTTTCTGCCAAAAGCCTCCCAAGTTCTACAGCCACGTGGGCAGTCTCTGCCAGCCGCCCAAGTTCTGTCCCCCGTGTGGATGGACAAAATGATACACAGACTTATATTAGGTACAAATGCTGCTTGGCCAATGACTAGGATTCTCATCTGTTAGTTCAGTCTTAATTATCATAAATCTATATATTTTATAAGACTTATCTTATTGGACACCTTCCATAGGTGTCCCTCCTTGCCAGTGGATCACATTGTGCTGCTGGAGGAAGAGCGGAGGGGAAAAGGACACTACCTGTTTCTCCTTGCTTAAATATGAATCTCCTTGCTATGTCACTTCCTGCCTGGATCACTACTTCTCTACTACATTTCTCAGAATCCTTTTGACTCCTGTTCCTGTCTAACTTGCTATATCATTGGCCAAACAGTACTTTATTCAATAATCAATAAGATGAACGTACATAGTACATTCCCTATCAGAGATGAGCTTCATAGCTTAGGCAGAGATTACACTAAATGTTTGTGGTTATGTTGAAAATGGCTTTAAGTACTTAATCTCTTCCAAATTGCCATGTCAGTGCTTGAAGAGATAACCGTAATGATAAAGAGAAACAAATGGAATTTTAAGACAATAGGTTTATCTTTTTTTCAAGGAAGAAAGCACTGGTCTTTTGTAAGGCCCCCCCCCCCCTGCCTTTGGTTTTTCAAGACAGGGTTTCTCTGTATAGCTTTGGAGCCTCTCCTGGAACTCACTTTGTAAACCAGGCTGGCCATGAACTTGGCCTGCCCCCCAAGTGCTGGGATTAAAGGCATGTGTCACCACTGCCCAGCACAAGCTTTCTTAAACCCTACAAGAAAAAGAAGGTATAGCTATAAATAAATTAACATGGGCTGGGCATGAGCATGGTGGTACACTCAGGAGACAGAAATATGTAAGTTAAAAGCCAGCCTGGTCTACATAGCAAATTCCAGGACAGCTGAGGCTACATACAGTTTTTTCTATTTAAAAATAAAAGATTAACTTTAAAAAGATTTTATTTATTATGTATACAATATTCTGCTTCCATGTATATCTGCACACCAGTAGAGGGCACTAGATCTCATAACGGATGGCTGTGAGCCACCATGTGGTTGCTGGGTATTGAACTCGGGACCTCTGGAAGAGCAGTCAGTGCTCTTAACCTCTGAGCCATCTCTCCAGCCCCATAAAAGATTAACTTAATGTGAAAAATCTGAACTTGTTCTTTGTACAACCTGTCAGCATTGGTCAGAGCAGTTTGAGTCAGAAATGCCAGTCATTTTCTTGTCAGTGGGACTAGTCAGTTTATAGAATTTGTACCAGTTTTCTAAGCAGGGACTAAATAGTTTGTCTTATTTACATTTCTTAAATTTTATTTGTAATGTCTGTGTACCACATGTATGCAGTACCTGAGGAAGCCAGAAGAGGGCACTGGATCCTGGAAGTGGAGTTACAGATGCTAGAGTGCTTCCTTCCATATAGGTTGTAAGCTGCCATATGGGTGCTGGGCATGAAACCCAGATTGTCTGGCAAAACAGCAAATGCTCCAAACACTAGGTCATCTCTCTAGCTCCCTGTCTCATTTAATGATATTTACACATGTGCTGTTAATATTCTTTCTGCTTTTGTCTACTTAAATAGCCTGCTTATTGAGCATACACCATGTGCCCAGTATATACTGTCCTTGGAAAGAAAAAGAGCAGTCAGCAAGCAGTGATGGAGGTTGAAGTCAGTTCCTCGTTGTTCCCCCTTCAAAGCTCTGCTGCTGACAGAGTGCTGGCTGTAGATGACTGCTTACCTGGTTAACAGGCACTGAATAACAGTGTGCTTAAACTTCACCAGCAGGCTTCTAGCACAGAGCTTTGTGGGATGTTTATCTGTTCATAAATCTGTTCAGTGATTACTGCAGTGAGGATCATTGCCCCTTGAAGTCTTGTGGTATGATTCTGAGCCTCAGGATTGAGACCACTTGTGCCTACTATGTTAACATAGGGCAAGATTGCTTAAAAACAGAAATTCTGGTGGTGCCTTTAATCTCAGCACTCAGGAGGCAGGTCAGGTTCTGAATTGAAGGCCAGCTTGATTTGCAGAGTTCTAGGACAACGGAGATGGTACAGAGAAACCCTGACTCAAAAAAAAAAAAAAAAAAAAAAAAAAAAAATTCATGCTCTAAGAGATACTGAAAATAGAAAGTTTTTGTAAAAACAGTGAAAAACAAGAAATGCCAGAAAAACTCAGAAACCTTTGTCATTATTAGGGAAGCATCAAAGCTTATGGCAGCAGAGAGGGGCCTTAAACATGAGTAGCCGGGTATTCATGTCATTTTTTATGGTGTATAAATTTTTGATACTTGAGTGGTTACAAATGGCCTTTCATTCATACCATCTGTTTTCTTGTAGGACCTATACAAATCGGCTTTTTTTTATTTTGAGGGAACCTTTTACAATGACAAAAGATACCCGGAATGCAGAGACTTAAGCAGGTACTGGTCCCAAAAATCTTCTCAAAGTCTTTTTCCCTGTTGGCTTTTCTTTTGAGAAGGGCCTCACTATGTAACCCTTGATGGCCTGGTACTCAGTGATCCGCCTGCCTCTGCCCCCCATGTACTGAAATTAAAAGCATGCACTACCACACCTAACTGTACAAATGCTTATTTCTAGTTTTTTTGTTTGTTTTTTCAAGACAGGGTTTCTGTATGTAAGTAACCCTGGCTGTCCTGGAACTTGCTGTCCTCGAACTCTGAGATCCACCTGCCCCTGTCTCTTGAGTGCTGGGATTAAAGGCATGTACCATCATGCCCAGTTTATTTCTAGCTCTTAAATTAGTGACATCTCCACAAATCTTACTTTTTTGTACTTTAAAGGACCCCTGTCCCCAGGAGTTGTATAAAGTTTGCATTGAATGGCATGTACCTTTAGAAAGATTAGGTCCACTAAGATACTGGTTATTAATCTCAGGTGATAATGCTAACCCTTCAGTATTTTTCCTTCTGTTCCCAAGATAATTATGTGTGTGGGGGTGGGGAGAGGACCTCTATATGCTTGTGAGTGCAGGTGGTGGCAGAGCCAGAAAAGGAACCTGGGTCCTTGGAGCTAGAAAGTATCTCTATTTGCCCTTTGTTGGTAAGTAGATGGACACATGTGTGATGTTGCTCAGGTAGAAGAATATTAAAATTCATTTCTAATAGCATTTCATTAGCACTTTATTTCATTATCAGCTTTACCCTTTTTAAAATGTAGTTCTCAGCACTTGCTGTCAATTCTTAATTGAGTACCCCAAAGAGCTGCAGTTTCTGTGGGTCATAGCTAACAGGGTTTCTCTGTGTAGCCCTGGCTGTCCTGGAATTTACCCAGTAGATCAGGCTGGCCTCTAACTCAAAGATCCACCAGCCTCTGCCTCTGCCCCCAGAGTGCTGGGATTACATTTGTGCACCACTGTTACACACCACCTAACACGTTAGTTAGAATTTGAAACTAAGAAATACATTCTGATCTTAGTACATGCTAACTTTTTGGTAAAAACAAACAAAAAAACCTATTGCCAAAAATAAACTCAGAACAAAAATGTGGCATTGTTTAACATTTCTTGTTTTTGCTAAAGTGGTGCATATCACACAGCCTCAAAAAAACTGGTCCTTACTGAGATGAAAAGGGCAGAGGTGGATCTCCATGACTTCAAGGCAGTCCTGGTATAGTGAGTTCCAGGACAGCCAGGGTTATATAGTGAGACACCCTGTCTTAACGTACAAAAACCCAAGAATAAAAAAGCTATTACTCAGGTAGGAAAAGTTCAGTGTCTAATCCTCCCGCACATTCCCACCCCCTTTTAACATTTTTGTTACTCCGTGGAAGCTTAGGTGTATGTGTTTGTACCATGGCACACATATAAGCAGAGAAAAACTGGGGGGATTGCACCCAGGTCAATAGTTACCTACTAGTCCAAATTCACAGTCCTAATTCAAGAATTTATTAACCACCATGATCTTCCCTTTTAGATGGTAAACATCCATTTAAGTAGGAGACCAGATTGTGTGAACTACTGCAGGTATGAACTCTTTTTCTTTCCTGTTCAAGTTTTAATAATACTGCTTTATCCTTACTTTCCTCCCAAAACAGAACTATTATAGAGTGGTCAGAGTCCCATGATCGAGGATATGGAAAATTTCAGACTGCTAGAATGGAAGATTTCACATTTAATGACTTGAACATTAAACTTGGCTTTCCTTACTTATACTGTCACCAGGGAGACTGTGAACATGTGGTTGTTATTACAGACATAAGGTATGTGGCATCGCTCAGAATATTTTATGTTAACAATGTCCTTAATTGGGGAGGGGGAAGGACACATGCAGGAGTGTGGAGGTCAAATGACAACTTGCAGGAGCCTGTCCTTCTACTGTGCAGGTTGTGGGGATTGAACTGAAGCCATCAAGCTTGACAGTGAGCACGTTTACCCACTGAGACATCTGATTAACTATTTCTATCTCTTTTACAGTACAAAAGTATAAATAACTTAAATTCAGAGAATTAAAGAGGTATCAATATGGTTTGGCTTGGGAGCAGCAAACATCTGCTTTTCATGCAGCGGAAAGTAGATACTCGCTGTATTGTTTTTTTTTTTGTTTTTGTTTTTTTTTTAATCTAGACTACATGGCACTGCAGGCCAGCACTTGGGCACACAGATTTCTGTGAATTTCAGGTTAGCCAGAACTACTTAATAAACACTGTCTATAAATCAAAACAAAATATATGTTGGAAATCTTATGTATTAGAAGATTAAAATCCCATAATTTTTAAGTAACTCAATTTAATCAAAAACATAGTAATTCTATAGTAGGAAGTTGAGTAACTAAATTCCAAAATAATGGTTTAGGCTTGAGGGGCTGAGAAAATGGCTTGGTGGGTAAGAGTGCTTGTTGAGCAAATACAAGGGCTCCAGTTCAAACCTCAAGAACCCATATGAAAAGCCAGGCATGGCCTTGCATGCCTGTAACTCTAGTGCTGCGGAGAGTGATGACAGGAGAATCACTGGGACTGCCAGCCTAGCTCTAGATCTAGTGACAAATCATGTCTCAAGGCAATAAGGCAGAGTGGTAGTGCAGGATACCCCATTTCCTCTTCAGCTACCTACATGCACACAAGTACCATGTACACCTACCTCAGACACACACACAAAGAGTAGTTTTCTGGAGATTAATAATATAAAGGTAATATCTCATAACTTCATATTTTATAACCTTTAGAACCTATTTATAGTATATCTTTGTTAACCTTTAAAAATTAAAAACCTACTTTCTTATTTACATACACACTTTTTTGAGACAGATTTTGTTTCACGTAGCCCAGGCTGGCCTCAACTTTGCTGTGTAGCTAAGCTTAAACTGCGGGCCCTTGGGATTGAAAGGATTGCTCAGTGGTTAAGAGCTGTTCTTCCAGTAGGCCTGGGTTTGATTGTCAGTACTCACATGATGCCTCACAATCATCTGTAACTCCATGTCAGGAACCTAACACTACTTTCTGGCTTCTGTGGCACAAGGCAGAAATGTGGTATAAAAACATACATCTGGGCAACACTCATAACACACTTAAAAAACAAAAAACCTGGTCTTCCTGCCTCTTCCTCTCAAATGCTGAGATTAGAACTATGTCACCACACCTGGTTTGTAAATTTTAGAAGTGACAAATCTCTAGAATTTAAACTTTGTGATGGATTATAATTTATCCAAAGCCATGCAGCTAGTTAGTGGTACTTAAATTTTTTTATAGTTGTGACATTTAAAATCTAATTCATGTCGTTTAAGGATCCAAATTTTGGGTTTTTAATAATGAAAGTCATGTAGTAAGAGCAAATTAAGTAAGGTATTGCCAGGCAGCCTTGCATATACAGTGCTGTTAAACAGAGCAAGGACTCTGATGGAAAACATTTAAAAAAAATTCCTAAGAGCATGTTAGCATAAGGGGAGTTGAGAAATTAATTCCTTGCTCAATCTGAAAAGCACAAGTGACTGCCCTCTGGTAAGGTAGGCAAGAACTCTAGCACTAAGTTACATCCCTACTAAGGGGTCAGTTATTTTGCTTAACTCAAGTATAAGAAATCAGTATACTAGAATCATTTCTGAGCAAAAAGTGGAATGTCAAACCATGTTCCTAATGTTGGGGAACAGGAATAGTGTCTGCATTTTAATATCTTCATCTGTTTTCCTCATGAAAGGCTTGTACATCATGATGACTGTTTGGATAGAACACTTTATCCCCTTCTTATCAAGAAGCATTGGCTATGGACAAGGAAATGTTTTGTTTGCAAAATGTATACAGCTAGGTGAGTGACAGCTTTCTTTCCTTTAAAAAATACTGGTTTCCACTTTTAGTACTTTGGTTATCTGTGTTCATTTTGGGGTTTCAGAGCTTTATCTCTGTTGCAGTGTTTGTGCAGCTCTGTACAAAGGATCGAACCCAGAGCCTGCTGCCTGTTAGTGAGCATGTGTATAGCATGAGGCAAAACCCCATAAAATTTTAAAACAAGGAAATGTATGCATGAAGTTCAGAACAAATTTTAAGGAACCATGCTTTCTCCGATTCTTGTGTCATTTACATTTCATCTCATTTCATGAAGCCAAAATAAGGTTTTATGTTTCTTATCAATCATTGTGACACAACACAGACCTAGAATTACTCAGGAGACCGAGGCCGGAAGATGTTGTTAATGCTGGCCTGGGAATCTTAAAAGTTCACATCCAGGAGAAAAGATGGAAGCATAGCACAATGTGACGACTCTCTGAATTAAATCTTCAGTGCTGTCAGCATGTTTACGCTGTGGGGATTCTTTTCTGTTCTTGCTTTAAAGATAGGGTCTCACATAGCCTGAGCTGACTGTCATCAAACCAACATTGTAAATGGGCTTGACCTTGAATTTCTGATATTCCTAGTCTCTTGAGTGCTGGGATTATAGCCAAAAAAGTCTGGAAACTACTCAGGGAAATAAGTTTTGAACTCACTATCCCTAGTTAGCTTTGGGTTACGAAAATGAAAATCCAGAAATCGAACATTCAGGAAAAAATTAGACTAAACTTAAAGTTTTATGTGACCAGTGACATGGCATGAAACAATCTCAGGTAAACATTGTCACCCATACTCCACGTACAGCCTAAACTGTAGTATTTTTGTCTTCATATCTAGATTAAAATGCCTGTATTCTCAAAATAATCAGAGTACTATGGCCCCTGTACAGGGATGATAGGAAAATTCAAGTGTTTGTCACCTCCAGTCAGTCACATTGTAGAGTAACTAGAAGAGCTTGGACATAGTCTCCACAATAGAATTATCATAGTCCTCTATTACTTAGATATGTGTAAGTTTGCCTTATTTAAAATAAGTATCTGGATATGTGGACACATGCCTCTACTCCCAACACTCAGGAAGCTGAGGCAATGGGATCATGAGTTTAAAGTCAGCCTGGATTACATAACTTAATTAAGGAATTCTTTTGGGGTCTATATAATGTAGATGTGTTAGTTTTCCAAGGTGACCTACTAGAAAATGAGTGAGCTACTTAAAGGATAGGTGTTCTCATAAGTGTGTGTGCTGCTTTCTGATAGAACATTTCCTTACCTTAAGAGGAAATCCTAGGTAACATGGTTCTTCAGCATTTCCTGTTGTATGTCCCTACTGTGTTGGTATAGTCTGTTGAGGCAGTAGTGAGAATGTTCATTATGCATTGTTATACAGAAGTGGTTCACAACCTTCCTTATGCTGCAACCCTTCACTACAGTTCCTCATGTTGTGGTAACTCCCAATCATAAAAACTTATTTCTGTTGCTACTATAGTAATTTTGTAACTGTTATGAATCACATCTGATGTGCAATCTCTGTGAACATCATTTAACAACCCTCCAAGGGGTCATGACCCACAGGGTGAGAACTACTGTTATAGGCCATAAATCAGAATGTTGAAGCATAAAAGAACCTAGTTGTAATATAACATACTCTTTCTTTTTTTAAACTACAGATGGGTGACAAACAACGACACCTTTGCACCAGAAGATCCATGTTTCTTTTGTGATGTTTGCTTCAGAATGCTCCATTATGATTCCGAAGGCAACAAGCTGGGGGAATTCCTTGCTTATCCTTATGTTGATCCAGGAACCTTTAATTAGTACCAAAAAAAAAAAAAAAAAAACAAAAAAAAAACCCTTTTCCCTACTAAAGTTTAGTTCAACATATTTTGTACTTCTTACATAGTATTTTTTGTTGTTGTTGTGGCTTTTTATTTAAATTGCTCATGTTACTGAGATGTTGAATTTTTTTGGGGGGGAGGGGGATATTCTGAATATATAAATCTTGTTGGAAACACTACATCTGATTCTTTTCTCCGAGTCCTATACATTCTGTACACGAACGGGTTTGGCTAGTGATAGACTTCAGTTAACAATAAATACATCAAGTCTAATCTCTTTACAGAGATTATTAAAGAAATCTTTTAAGGATATAAGAGCTACACCTCCTACTATGAAGCTGCCAAGGTAAAGACCCTTCAAATATCTGTGGTAAGGAGATACTAAAAACAAATTGTCGGTTATCAACAGAAATTAGGAGTAGTTACAATTTAACTTTGGGCTCTTGTGATATTTTTTTAAGGTAGACACTAGGTACGTAAGACTACAATGAATCTAAACAGATTTTAAGTTATGCTCATAGCATTACTTAAAGTGAAGCCCATTTCTTGAAATCACAAATACATTGAGTTTAAAATGTCATTTAAAGTCATGGCTGAAGAAAATAGATTTTTGCATTTCCATGGCTCACTTAATCTTCATAATACTTTTGAGCATGTAAAAATTAGAAGAAAGAAAAGTTTTCCAGCTCAGCACCTCCGTTCTTCTGTACCCTTACTGTAACAATATAGAAAAAAAGAAAACTGCTAAACAAATTCTATCAAAATACTTTGTGAAAACTTTTGGGATAGAAAATGAACACTTTCTAATAACATAAAATGGACTTTTAACCATTACTTTCTCTGTCCTAGGTTTAATTTAAATTCAGCTGAATCTTCTCTAGATGTCTAAGAACAGATAATTACCTTATAAATAAACCAATGAAGCCTACATGTCTCTTTAAAGACTGTGAAGTTTAAAAGAAGGTGAAGCATATTTCATGGACTTAAATGTCACAAATCCAATTATGGCGACTGACATGGAGATGACAAGTGCCTGCATGTGGTATGTCTAGAGTATTATTATTTAGTGCTATAGCCAACACAGGGTACCATTTACTCGCCAGGGCTAACTTACAATGCGTCTCAATCTTACTTTTCTGTACTGTACTGAATGGTGTTAACATTAAATACACTGAGATTCTGCTGCAGAATCATTCAATCATAATGAATGAATGATTTTCTCAATTCCTAGAGTAATACGGCAGTTCATTTGGGTATTGCACTAATGTTCATACTGTCACAAAGTAAATTCCAGGAAATTAGTTACCCCTAGTGTATAATAGACAAAGATGACGGATAACAGATAAATCATATTATTTATTAAGAATGCTATTCTACTTTTTTACCAAAAGTTCACATACCTTCCATTTCTTTGATGGTGGAAATGAGGAAACGCTAACCAGGTTACTGCAGTTATCAATTATTATAGGTATCCCAACTATTTCACATAAAAGAATTTCAAATTTACATTACAAGCTCTAAAGCCCTTGTCTTGAGTTTTTCTTTATGCCATTAGCAATCTCTTATACAAATAACAAATTTCATGTGTCACTTTAAGGACAGAGATAAATATGAATAGCACACCTTTATCAGTGAACATTCCTGTGGATATACCTGCAACTGTATAGAAAATAGCTGTTTCCTCAAGCATCTTGCTTATGCTTACAATTCTTTTAATTTTACCTTGTAATTTTAAAGCAGGAGGAGTCATCCCTAGTATTTGTTGGTGAATTACACAACACAAATTTAAGTAAATTTTTTAGTAACCTCTTCATTTCTTAAAGGTCTCAAGCTACAATTTTATTATTTGCAGTAGATTTGCATTTTCTCTGACCAATGGAATAAAGTTTGTTAACTGAAGCCTTTGCTCTACATACAGGAGTAGATAGATGGCAGATTCCATCTTCACCTGGCATTTTTAATCAGGTAAGTGGATATGAATAGGAACATTTTTAGTGTGCCACATCTTGGTAAAAATCTACCATGCTATAGAATTCCTAGCTAGAATAGCAAATATGCTCAAATTGTTTATACATGTAGACTTACAATCAGAATCTCTCATTAAGGTTGGACATCTGAAATTGATCCAAACAGCTGAGAAAATGAACATTCAAAATAGGTATCCATACATGCATATTACACATGCATACTATACACAGTGGGAGAAGTGGCTAACACACTGAATAGATCTTAGTTCAGCTGTAGTTTTAACTAAATAATTTTTGTTTACAGAGTTTTTAGAGTGATATCTTGCCTGCGAATTAGCCTATGACAGACAATTCCAAGATTAAAAAGGCAGCTGTGCTTCAAAAGAACACACATGGTCAAAGCAAGACAGCCCATCCAAGAAGGTACATAAACTACAAGAGTGCTGCTAATGTTCTGAGGTTGGATATTCTATAGCTTCTTCATGAAGCTTAACACCTGTGCTTAGGGACGTCAACGCAAGGCAAGTGACAGTGCCTTCCTGAGGTTACTATTAACAGGATGTCAGCGAAGGCTAAAGAGGACCCTACTTCCTTAGCAGGAAATCTAGAATTTTTTCAGTAACTCTTCTCAATTAGCAGTAATAATAATTTACTAATAAGAGTTTGGTAGAAAAATTTTTAATTAAAACAAGTTTACACATTTGACACGTATGGCTTAACTAGAATAATTTTTGTCCAAGTTAAAAATGTACTAAGGACAAAACAGAAGACCGGTGTATATATAATGTACAGCATTTGCCCAAAACAGTAGTTCCATTGTAAGAGCAAAAGTCCAATTATTGATTAATTCAAAATCCTTTACATAAGTGAAAATAATTATGTGAGAAGTCAAGATCATGTATAATTACACCACATACAAACACTGGTATTAAGTCACTTTCCCATTAAATTTCAAAGCATAGCGATGAACCTTTCTTCCTACTGGAAACCAATAACTGACGTGATTACTCAGAATACCTTTGAAATGCTATTCCTTAATTTAACAGACCCTGTTAGTCTACGTTTATGTGTATGGACAATCTAGTTACTACTTTGGAACAACTGATATTTCTACCTTTTACTTTTGTAATCCTGTGATGTCTGATACAGAAGTTAAATACCAATCCCATTCTAATATGGGCTTGTTTTCAATTAGGTTAGTTTCTTTATTTATATTTATCACTTAAAAGCATCATGGATTGATTACGATTTAAAAAAAAAAAAAAAAAAAAACTAGTTTTAGGATTGTTGATGAACTTCCTATATATACCCAGTCTGTTCTGACTCCACTGAATTCCCAGCCCTAAAACTAAATTACTTTCAAAAGTTAACAAATTTGTACCTTCTAGAACAATCAGTTGGACATCTAGTTGTCATAAGACGACACATTATTACAAAGAGGCAAGTTAATGCAGCACAATAGACTGAGGTTAAAGTTAACTTGTGATAAAAAGGAGTGAGTGCTTAGAAGTAACATTCATTTTATGCTCATAAAAATGCTCAACTTCTAAAAAACCCACAAACAGTGGAAAGACAGTCTGGTAAATCCAAGATTTGTAAAAAACTATGCACAAATCCACAGTATTTGGGAGAAAAGGAACAATTTATACAAGTAGCAGTTTTAAAATGTAACTGGCCTACTACCAATTACACATGAACACACACACTAACCCAAATACACTAGTCATGTCTATAAAGCAGGCAAACCCTTCTAAGTAGGTTTCCCTCACACTTGAACTGGATGGAGCTGTTAATACTGCACATGGAAAATTAGTAATAATAACTTTTACTTTTACACAAACATAAAGGGATTTTCTTTCCCCCAAACTACTTAAACATCAAAACCTATGCTTATAAAAATTTAACCCTTTCAGCAGCCTAAGTATTTCAAATGAAGCCATTCACAACAGACTTCACATATTCTTTACACCCCACATCTGCCAACCTAGTTAGTTATCTAGTGGTGACTCCTTCAGAGATAGTTCGGCCTCTCTCTCTTCTCCAGATGACCTAAAATAAAGGGAGAAAAAAAACCTGTCACAACAAGGCGTGGGGATTTTCTCTGGAGTAAAAAGGGCTATAATTCCCATTAAAAAAAAAAAAAAAAAAACTAAAAACACAAAACATTTCTTACATATGTTGTTAAAGTAATACACAAATCTGGTGAGATCCTAGCTAACTTTAAGATAAATTTTGTTTAAACAGAATTTGTATCTGTGATGACAACATAAAATAAGAACTAGACAAACATCTAAATTATTTATTATTTTGTGTGCCTTGGTGTTCTGTCTGCCTGCATGTCTGTGAGGGTGTTGAATCCTGGAGTTAGAAACACTTGTGAGCTGCCATGTGGATCCTCTGGAAGAGCATTCAGTGCTCTTAAGCACTGTCCGTCTCTTATTTAATAATGTAAAATAGTGGTAGTGGCTGTACCTATGATTTTTTTATTCTAACAATTTAAGAAAGTGTGAGGGTCACTAGCTAATAAAGTTCAATGAAAAATTGTTTTCTTTCTGAGTTCTACTGAGATCCATTTTCCTGAATAAATATAGGGGCAATCACCGGGCATTGGTGGTGCACACCTTTAATCCCAGCACTCGGGAGGCAGAGGCAGGCAGATCTCTGTGAGTTCAAGGCCAGCCCGTTCTCCAGAGCAAGTGCCAGGATAGGCTCCAAAGCTACACAGAGAAACCCTGTCTGGAAACAAACAAACAAACAAAAATAGGGGCAATAACTGTATAATCTGTAATCCCAAACAGATTGAGGCTGGAGAACTACAAATTCAAGGCTGACCTGGGCAATGTAGGGAGGGAGACCTTGTCTCAATTATCTGGTGCTAGGGGTTGAACTCAGCCTTAGCCAAGAGCATTACACAACTCCAGTCCTTCCTCCTGTCCTTTTCTCCTTAAACAAATGTATGAATGCACTTTCTGATGTTCCTCTGCACACCAGAAGAGGGCATCAGCCACCGTGTGGGAAGTGGAAATTGGATTCCAGGTCTCTGGAAGTGCAGCCAGTGCGCCTAACCACTGAGCCACCTCTCCAGTCCCTCCTGCCTTTTTGATTCACAACTTTAAAAAAAAAAAAAAAGGCTGATTTAGTGGCACCTTTAATCCTAGCACTCTAGACTCAGACTTCTCTGAGTTCAAGACTAGCCTAGTCTACATAGCAAT